GTCCCTGAGCTGGTGTGACACTTACACCGAATGGATGTGGATAATTATCGGCTCCCAGACTCACTCAGTCCATGAGCAGATACTTTCTGAGACTCACACCAGAAGTCTCTCTCTTTCAGTCCCCGAGTGAGCAGCGATGGCGAATCACACTGGAGGCGTCAACAGCCCTCGGCTGGAAGTCTCTCCCGGTCCCTGAGGCTCCCCAACTGAGTCTCAAACTGGAAGGGAATCCTTTTGGATCGCTTCCCTCCCTGGTCAATGATGATCATGATCATTGCAGTCCATGAAACCAGAGAGACAAAAGAGATGCACTATTCCTGATTCCATCTGCACCGCCCCCCCTGTTTAGGCATGGACCCTTGGTCACGCCTCCTTCGCCCCCTGCCACTCGCCTCAGCCCATTTACAGCCAGCTTTCCTCCTCCGTTGCCCTCCCGCAGCCATTCTCCACGGCCAGTGGACCCTTGGTCCTCTGCCCGTCGCCCTTCGGCCTGGACAATTCACCCAGACACCCTTTGTCCCGGGCCTTTGGCTATATGGGACAAATAGCCCCCAGCCATGGTGCTGCGGGGGCAGCATGCGATGAGCAACCCCAGGGGCTGGGGAGGGCAGCTGTGATGCAAGATTTTTTTTAAAAAGTGCTGTGGCTGCTCTGCATGTTTTGGGGCCTTGCAGCTCTGACCCCAGAATCGGAAGGAGGGGGACTAGCAGCAGAAGTAGCAACCACCGGGGCCACTGGGGGGAGCAGTCAGACAAGAGTGTGTTGGGGAACGAGGGAGGGAGGGAGGGGCACCTCAAGGGGACTTCACAAAGACAGCTTGACTCGCAACTCAAACGAAAGAGGGGAGGAGGAGAAAGGCCGGAGCAGCTTCTGCCACAGCCAGGGAGGTGGGTTAGGGGGGCACACAGGCAAACAGAGGGCTGGTGTGCTGCTGGAACTGGAGCGTCATGGGAGGGAAGCGTGGGCTAATGGGACTGCTTGCGCCTTGGGAGGGAAGGGAGGGCAACTGGCAAGGGGTGGGGATGATGGGACTGCGTGCGCCGTCGTGGGAGGGAAGGGAGGGCAAATGGGAAGGGCTGGGGCTGATGGGACTGCGTGCGCCGTCGTGGGAGGGAAGGGAGGGCAAATGGCAAGGGCTGGGGCTGATGGGACTGCGTGCGCCGTCGTGGGAGGGAACGGAGGGCAAATGGGAAGGGCTGGGGCTGATGGGACTGCGTGCGCCATCGTGGGAGGGAAGGGAGGGCAAATGGGAAGGGCTGGGGATGATGGGACTGCGTGCGCCGTCGTGGGAGGGAAGGGAGGGCAAATGGGAAGGGCTGGGGATGATGGGACTGCGTGCGCCGTCGTGGGAGGGAAGGGAGGGCAAATGGGAAGGGCTGGGGATGATGGGACTGCTTGCGCCGTCGTGGGAGGGAAGGGAGGGCAAATGGGAAGGGCTGGGGATGATGGGACTGCGTGCGCCGTCGTGGGAGGGAAGGGAGGGCAAATGGCAAGGGCTGGGGCTGATGGGACTGCGTGCGCCGTCGTGGGAGGGAAGGGAGGGCAAATGGGAAGGGCTGGGGCTGATGGGACTGCGTGCGCCGTCGTGGGAGGGAAGGGAGGGCAAATGGGAAGGGCTGGGGCTGATGGGACTGCGTGCGCCGTCGTGGGAGGGAAGGGAGGGCAAATGGCAAGGGCTGGGGCTGATGGGACTGCGTGCGCCGTCGTGGGAGGGAAGGGAGGGCAAATGGCATGGGCTTGGGGGTTGGAACTGTGACCCGTCGTGGGAGGGAAGGGTGGGTAGAAGCCACACCAGCCCTCTGTTTGCCTGTGTGCCCCCCTAACCCACCTCCCTGTCTATAGCAGAAGCTGCTCCGGACTTTCTCCTCCTCCCCTCTTTCGTTTGAGTTGCGAGTCAAGCTGTCTTCGTGAAGCCCCCTTGAGGTGCCCCCCTCCCTCCCTCGTTCCCCCAATACACTCTTGTCTGACTGCTCCCCCCAGTTGCCCCGGTGGCTGCTACTTCTGCTGCCAGTCCACCTCCTTCCGATTCTGGGGTCAGAGCTGCAAGGCCCCAAAACATGCAGAGCAGCCACAGCACTTTAAAAAATCTTGCATCACAACTGCCCTCCCCAGACCCTGGGATTGCTCATTGCACGCTGCCCCTGCATCACCATGGCTCCTGCCTGCCACCCAGCTGGCTGTGGGCTATTTGTCCCGTACAGACAAAGACCCAGGACAAACGGTATCTGGGTGAATTGGCCGGGCCGAAGGGCGACAGGCAGAGGGCCAAGGGCCCACTGGCCGTGGAGAATGGCTGCGGGAGGGCAGCGGAGGAGGAAAGCTGGCTGTAAATGGGCACGGGTGAGTTGATGGGCTGCATTTCTTGGGCAAAAGGCTGCACTGCTGCTGAGGCCATCCTGACTCACAGAGGTGATGCCAAGGCACTCCTGACAGGGGTCTTCCAGCCCGAGTTACTACTCTGTGAAACTCACACTGAATGAGTAGGCAGCCAGACGCTCCCAGGCTCGTCCAGCCTCTGAGCACACACTCTGTGAGACCCACCCTGGGAGGGAGACCCTTTCAGTACCTAGGTGAGCAGCCAGGGCGAGTCACACTGGAGGAGTCAACAGCACTCAACTACAAGCCTCCGGTGCCCTAGCTGAGTCTCAAACTGGAAGGGAATCCTTTTGAATCGCTTCCCTCCCAACTTCATACCCTGAGAAATAATGTCAGCTGCAGCCAGATCTCTTGGAACCAAAAGTAAACCTGGTGACACACTTTAATACGAGGTATTGCCATTTCTACAAATTAATAACTAGTTTTTTACTAGAGTGAAACATTATGTCCTCGAACTGGAAAATAAATCTGTGTGACCCTTTTAAATTCTAGATGTGGCCATTGAAACCCTGAGTAGATTTCTTGCCTGGCTTAATTTAGGCACGATGGTCGTTCTTAGAACCAGAAAGCATCTCAATGGCCCTTTTTAACGCTGGGTGTGCCGGTGATTGATAATAGATTTTATAGTTTTCTGCCTGGCATAAATTTAGCCACAGCCATGGTTCTTAGAACCAGACAGAAAACCTCAACCGCTCTTGTTAATGTCTGGTGTGGCCAGTGATTGATAAAAGATTTCTATTTGGAATAATTTTATCCACGGCTGTTGTTTAAAATGTGTAAGTTATGTTTTGACTGATAAATATTAAACATGACACACAGTATGGCGGTCACCTCAAGAATTTTGATTTCTTTTGTCACACACATTTGTCTTTTTGTTCCTGAAATTTCTGTTTGACATTTATTTTTTGTAATACAACTGAGTTTTACTCCTGATTTACTGTTGTTAAGTAGTTGTGATGCTTATGGTAGACAAGTTTTATCTTTTACCTGTTTTTATGTATTCTTTCTTATCACCATCTCTTCACCAAGAGATACCTGTTGTGATATTTATGTATTTGAACACTGAAGTTGTGTTTTCTTTCTTCTGAGAAAAATCTTTTGATGACAACTATGGTTCCTTTTACACCTCACCTTTTGTCAAAAATGTCATTTTAAATTAGTGAACTATTTAACCCATGGTATTTTATCATTGCTTTTGTAATTTTTGTGTGACTTTTTATCCTTAAAATATTGGATTATGCTTTTATGTATTTTATCTGTAAGACTGTATTATGTTTTGAATTGTTGTACAAACTGTTGCAACTGGGTAACGCTTGGAAGATATGATGCAGAACAATAAAGTATTTTTCGAGTCTTCCTTCATTATATAACAGGTCCAAGGAGCTTGGACCTGTTAGGCACCTTGTGCTCCTGCCCTGTGCCGAAATCACCGAGGATCATCTTTTGTAAGGATTTGGGGGTTCTACCAAAATAAACTTCCAATGAAGTTTTTTGTGCTTTATATAACAAATGTTTTAGATTTCTCTCTTTCCCTCTCTCATCTATTATCTATCTCACCTATTAATCATCTATATCAGACATGTCAAACACAATGTCCGGGGGCCGGATGCGGCCCGCAAAGTGGTTTCATGTGGCCCACGAAGCCATCCTGGAAACAGTGAGGGAGCCCGCTGTCTTGGCCCCAGCCGGCTGGGAGCCAATGTACAAGTTTGTGGTGGCCATCTTGGTACTTGCCCCAGTGGACCATGCCTTGGCACTTGCCCCCGTCCCACCCCCTTCTGCCAGAGACCCTCAGATCTGTCCCATTCCTGCCCAGACCCCCACAGGCACCCTTGACGCGACTGGTGTAGAATTGGGCACGCCCACCCAGTAGGCCACACCCACTCCATGCACACCCACCCAGTAGGCCACACCCACTCTGGCCACACCCACCCAGCGCCCCCCCCCCCCGAGCAACTGCAATGCTGATGCGGCCCTCAGTGAAATTGAGTTTGACACCCAATCTATATTTAATCTATCCAGTAACCTTTTCTGCTGTACCTTGGGGAAAAAATGCCATGGACTTACCTGGCTACAGGAGGGCAGCATTCCCTGTTTTGCCCTCCTCAGTGCCCTATTAGAAATGAAATTTTAGCTTCTGCAATTATCTTTTGTATTCCCAGCAGCCTCTTCTGTGGCTGCTTTGAGCTTCCATCAAAGGAAGGAAATGAAAGAATAAAAATAAGCCACTTCAGGGCTTCTTTGCTAAACGTTACAGCACACACTGGCCACAAGAGGGCAGACTTTGCTGCTTTGACTAAACTCAGTTTTATACGTGTTTGCTTATTATGTATATTCCTTTATCAAAGGTGTACTCTGAGTGCCCCTAGGGGTCAGCAACCTGCGGCTCTGGAGCCGCATATGGCTCTTTGAGCCTTCCCCTGCGGCTCCCAGCCTCCTCTGCCATTTGCAGACAGAGAGAGAGGCACTTGTGCTTCCCCCCTCCTCCCTCTCTCTCTCTCTCTCTCTCTCTCTCTCTCTCTCTCTCTCTCTCTCTGTGTGTGTGTGTGTGTAAAAAAGAGAGTGGACTCACAGTGTTCTCCGACGAGCTGAAAAGCTTACTGGATGGCACTTCTCCTTTTGCTGCGTCTCTGCAGGAAGCAGGAGAGAGCTAGCTAGCCCAGCTATGCTGACTCAGGAATTCTGGGAGTAGAAGTCCATGAGTCATAAAAGATGTTTTCGGTTGTAAATGGGTCCAAGTGGCTCTTCGAGTGTTTTGGGTTACCTACTCCTAGGGCCTAAGAAAAAAGCACTGAGTTGTAGGAATCATAACAAATCACCAGAATTCTTGATCGGTTTAATTTCCTGCTTTTACCAGCTGGTCTTGGGGTGAAGAGAATCAAATCCTGCCACAAGACCTCCCACTTGCTATTGGCACAGCCTTCTCAAAACAACACAACTCCATATTTTGAGCTGGAGCACAGGCTTGAACCAGAGGAGCCGGTCAAATTTCCCCCGAACCCTGAATTAACCACAAAACAACGGCTAAAAGGAGAATAGTTTCTCCTTTCTGTTATGTTTTTCCTTCTAAACAGTAGAAGAAAATACAGTGAGCAATTGCTTTGGGAGATCAACAATAACAACAATAGAGTTGGAAGGTCTTGTAGTCCAGCAGGAAAGCCTATAGTACCACTTCAGACAAATGGTTGTCAAGTCTCTTCTTAAAAACCTGAGGCCCTACTCTTTCCTTGCCCAAAAGAGGGCAAAAAAGTCAGGCTTTCCCAAGATATGAAAGACTATGTTGTTATTTTAGGGGCAAAGTCATCAGAACGCAGCCTTAGGCAGGAATAGCAGCCACACAAGGAAATCAACCTTACCTGCCAACTTCCAGTCACACATGCGCAGTAGTCCTCCACTGTCTTACACACCGACCTCCCCGGGATGGCCAACTTCCTGTCCGTTTCTGTGGCCGTCCTTCCACTTCCATTCAGAACGACCTTCTCGGCATGGCCGACTTCCTGTCCCTAAGCAGGCGGCTGGATGCCGGTACGAGAGACTAGGAGGCTGGGTCTCTTTGTGCCCTTTCCACTTCAGAGGGAGAAAAACAAGAGGCCAAATTGGGAACATAGAGATACAGTTCATATGTTGGAAACATAAATTTCAGGGATTCTTTCTCAGGCTTAGTTGCCCCATCTGCATTTGTAAAATGGCCCCTGGGCCCCGTTTTACAGCCGGAGAGGGAAAGACAGGTTCAGGGGACAGAACGGTCGGGATTTTGAGGTTATTCTTCTGCATCTTTATTATTAGAAGCCTTGATATTAATAATTATAGAGCAGGGCTTTTCAACCAGTGGTATGTGTACCACTTGTGGTACTTTGCCACATGGCCTGTAGACCGTGATTGCAAGTCAAGTGTAGTAGGGGAGGGGAATGAGCCTATCGTGGCTTATTAATAAGCTTTTAATAATAAAGAATAATCATCATCTTAAAACGCCATTAAAGAGGTTTATTTATTTTTGTGGCTGCAGTATCTGATTTGACAGAGTTTTCTGTCCCTTGGCTATAGGATGGAGGCCATTAAAAAAAGCCTACCATGGACTCCAAGCTAAAGCTATGAGACGGGAAAGTGTGCCCTCTTCTGGTCAAAAACGGGTATTGTGGCCACCAAAAGAAATAAACCTTTTTAATGGCATTTTAAATTCTCTATCTTTATTAACAGTATTAACACCTTATTAATAGGGCCAGGGGAGGCCCGTTTGCTGCAACGCAGGCGCGGAAGAAGAAATCTGCTTCAAAAGCCTTAAATCTGGTTAAGGAGGACTATGATGCCCTATTAATATTAATAAGGTTTTAATAATAAAGAATAACCTTAAAATGCCATTGAAAAGTTTTTTTTTTAATTTTTATTTTTAACCAACAAAACAGAACAAAGCAAAACATAACACACATACACATACAATATATACTCCTTTTTTTTACAGCAATTACGTAACGGTAATCTAATATTTACATTTCCCCCTTATTCTTCTTTAGAATATTTGTCCCTATAGCCCCATTATTTCTTATTTACGTTTTTCTTCCTATATGTTCTACTTCTTACTAAGAATAATTCATATTATTATACATTATTATAGACATATTTTCACTTTTGACCTTTCCATATTTATTCTCCTCTATTGAAAAGTTTTTTAATGGCTCCTCTACCTGCTTCAACCACAGGATGGCACTGTTTTTTGATCCTTAATAGCATTCAATAACTTCAATAGATAAATAATAATAATCTTAAAATCATATTAAAAGGATTTATTTCCTTTTGTGACTGCTACTCCTTCTTTAATCGTAGGGCTCAATTCTTCCCAGAGGGCTTGACCGCTTTAGTCTCAATAAATAACTTCCCCTCTCCCAGGAAACAGGCGATGGGAGCATAAGGGGGCTTCCTGTGGACTTTCCTCACTGTTTTTAAATATCCCTAGGCTACACCCAACCTAAGCAAAGCAGTTACCAACAGAATAAGAGACGTGGAGTTCCAGCTAGAACTTAACAGAATCTCTCTCTGCAGCAAGAAAATGGATTAAATGGGGTGTGTGGGGACCAGCAAGCTTTCCTAAGAGTAGGAACCCTACCTCCTGCTATTTCCCACCAAAACTGCAACATTTAGAGGAGCGGTGGCAATCGCAACCTCCCACCGTGTTTCCCACTGCCTCTTGCGGTTTTTACTGGGCTCCCAACCTTCCTCCAGTTCCATCCCCGTCTTTTTAAAAGGAAAAGCCTTAATCTCACTGAAGCTGGCAAAAAAGGGGGGGGGGAATCCTCAAGGACAACTTATCTGTTTTCCCCCAGTTCTTTCTTAACAGCCACAGAAAGGGGGGGGGTCACCCATTTGGCAGAGGGAGCGTGACCTCCTTTCTCCACTGCCTTTTCCAAAAAGGCTGAAGCTTTCAGCCGGCAGGCCTTTAGAGGATTGGTGTCCCCACCCTTCCTCCTGGCCCACATGGCTGCTACATCAGTCAATGCAGCTGTGACTGGGGGAGGTTAGCAAAATTGCAAGCCAGACTCTGCAAAGACCCGGGTCTCCTACTGCCCCCAGAGAGACCTGCTTTTCCTTTCTCGTACCTCTGGGCGATGGGTGGGTTGTTTACGGCAACCTGGAGAGGAAAGGAAGGAATCTCCTGCCCTTCCTAACCCTGACTTGCTTTGGACGAAGGTCTACAAAGTTAGATGGATGGCGAACAAATTAATAAATGCCATTAGTTGCAACTTCTCACGTCTTATCCCTTTTATCCATCCTTTAAATGATAAACCTATAAGGGAACGATAGGTTATATACATTTTCAAAATAAACTACATTTATTTTTATATTGATCGTTTCTTAATAAAAATGCACACTATTTCAAATAGATATTTGATATTGCACCTATATTAATACATAGGGATCTCTAAGAAATATAGTTTAGAAACATCAAAACTAAATACAAACCTGCATACGTACGATCTCCTTAAAGAAATAGCAGGGCAGGACATCTTAGGGGAGAGGACCAAACGAGTGGCCGGGGTGGAGGCGGGGGAGGGGGAAGGTGGGGATCCCCCGCAAACTAGGTAACAGAGAAAACCGGTATCTTTCTGGAATCTGGAAATGCGGGGATGACTCGGCTCACCTGAGCCAGTAGCACGCTTCCTTTTTTCCTTCCTGCGTGCGCTCCGTCAACGTAGTGCAGAAAAGAGCACGGGAAAAAGCAGGGAACCGTGCTGCGAACGGACAGGAAGTTGGGGACGACCTCGGCGAATGGACAGGAAGTCGGAGATACTAGGAACGTCGTCGTCGGTGGTCATGCTACGGGACGTAAAACTGTGCCCTCCTGTGGTCGAAAACGGGTACTGCGGTCGCCGAAAAAAATAAAGCTTTTAAATGGGATTTTAAGGCTATATATTCCCCCCCCCCGTGTTTATTATTAACCCCTTATTAATATTAATAGGGCGGCGGGAGGCCCTTTTGCCATTTTAACGGTTTATTTCTTTTGGTGGCTGCTATACCCGGCTTGACCACGGGAGGGCACTGTTTTTCCTCCCTTAGCGATACCGGCATTGAGGCCGTGGAAAAGGCCTACAATGGCCTCGATGGTAATGCTATGGGACGGGTATTGCGGCCGCCAAGAGAAAGAAGCCTTTTTAATGGGGCTTTAAAGGCTTACTTCGTTGATCCGACGTGGAGTCGGCCGTGCCCAGAAGGTCCCCGAAAAAAAGGAAGTGGAAGGACGATTAAGAAGAACTGACCGGAAGTCGGCCATATTGCGAAGGTCGCAATTCAACGATCCTGGAGGACGGCGAATTTGCGCGGACAGGAAGTCGGACATGCTGAGGTCTACCCGAAAGGAAGTAGGGGGAAAGATTAAGAACGAAGGAACGGAAGTCGGACATGATGGAAAGGTCCTTTTAACCGCAGGACCTGGGGGACGGCCGATACCGACGGACACGAAGCCCGCCGTCCAGAGAGGGCCTCTCGCAGATTACTCAAGAACCAGCCAGCGGACATGCGCAGAAGGCCGAGGGAAGTGGCCCGTCCCTTTCGGAGGAGCATAGAGTGGCGACCCTTTGGCTGACGCTCTGCGCTTTGGGGCTTAGCTCCTCGGTGTCCCGATCCTGGGCAAGTGGCCTACGACGGCCTCCCCGTTAATGCTATGGGACGGGAAACACTGCCGTCCTGTGGTCAAAAACGGGTACTGCTGCCGCACAAAGAAATAAATACTTTTTAATAGCATTTGAAGCTTACTCTTCTCTATTTTTATTCTTAACGCCTTATTATTAATATTAACGTGGCGACGGGGGGCCCGGTCGGTGCCACACGGGCGCAGAAGAAATCCTGGTTCCAATCTTAAACCGAGTTAAGGCCTATTGTGGCTTATTCATATTAATAAGGTTTTAATAATCAAGAATAATCATCTTAAAGAGGTTTATTTATTTTTCTGGCCGCAGTATCTGATTTGACCAGTTTTCCATCCCTTAGCAGGACTGGCTCAGGAATTCTGGGAGTTGAAGTCCACCAGTCATCAAAGAGCCAAGGTTGCCTACCCCTGCCTTAGCTATAGGATGGAGGCCATCAAAAAGGCCTAGGATGGACTCCAAGCCAAAGCTATGAGACAGAAAACTGTGCCCTCCTGGGGTCAAAAATGGGTGTTGCGGCCACCCAAAGAAATAAACCTTTTTAATGGCATTTTAAAATAACCGTATTCTCTATCTTTATTAACGGTATTAACACCTTATTAATAGACGAAGGCCTACAAAGTTAGATGGACGGCGAACAAATTAATAAATGCCATTAGTTGCAACTTCTCACGTCTCACCCCTTTTATCCATCCTTTAAATGATAAACCTATAAGGGAACGATAGGTTATATACTTTTTCAAAATAAACTACATTTATTTTTATATTGATCGTTTCGTAATAAAAATACACAATATTTCAAATAGAGATTTGATATTGCGCTTATATTAATACATAGGTATCTCTAAGAAATATAGTTTAGAAACACCAAACCCAAATACACACCTACATACGTACGATCTCCTTAAAGAAAAAGAAGGGCAGGACAAACAAAACTATTCTTGATTAAAAACATCTGGGTTTGCTTGAAGGGGGCGAGCGGGGTGCACTTTTAGGAGCAACCTCTTAAGGTGTAACACAGGGAAGCGCGATACGATTGGATCATGGAGAAAGCTAGGGAGTTCCAGAAAAACATCTACTTCTGCTTCATTGACTATGCTAAAGCCTTTCATTGTGTGGATTGTGGCAAGTTCTTAAAGACATGGGAATACCAGACCATCTTATTTGTCCCTTGAGAAACCTATATGCGGGTGAAGAAGCAACAGTGGGAACTGGACACGGAACCACTGATGGGTTCAAAATTGGAAAAGGAGTCCGGCAAGGCTGTATACTGTCGCCCTGCCTATTTAACTTATATGCAGAGCACATCATGAGAAAGACAGGGCTAGATGAAACAACAGTTGGAATTAAGATTGCCGGGAGAAATATCAACAACCTAAGATATGCAGATGATACCACTCTAAGGGCAGAAAGTGAAGAGGAACTAAGGAGCCTCTTGATGCGGGTGAAGAAGGAGAGTGCAAACGTTGGCTTGAAACTCAACACTAAGAAAACCAAAATCATGGCATCCGGCCCACTCAATTCCTGGCAAATAGATGGGGAAGAAATGGAGGTGGTAACAGATTTTATTTTTCTGGGCTCCAAGATCACCTCAGATGGGGACTGCAGCCAAGAAATTAAAAGACGCTTGCTCCTGGGAAGGAAAGCTATGGCAAATCTAGACAGCGTACTAAAAAGCAGAGACATCACCCTGCCAAGAAAAGTGCGTATAGTCCAGGCCATGGTCTGCCCAGTTGCAATGTATGGCCGTGAAAGTTGGACCATAAGAAAGGCTGAGCGCCAAAGAATTGAGGCCTTCGAACTATGGTGTTGGAGAAGACTCTTGCGAGTCCCTTGGACTGCAAGGCGTTCAAACCGGTCAGTCCTAGAAGAGATCAACCCCGACTGCTCTTTAGAAGGCCAGATCCTGAAGTTGAAACTCAAATACTTTGGCCACCTAATGAGAAGGAAGGACTCACTGGAGAAGCGCCTAATGCTGGGAAAGATTGAGGGCAATAGAAGAAGGGGACGACAGAGAATGAGGTGGTTGGATGGAGTCACTGAAGCAGTAGGTGTGAACTTAAATGGACTCCAGAAGATGGTAGAGGACAGGAAGACCTGGAGGAACATTGTCCACGCGGTCGCGATGGGTCAGACACGACTTCGCAATTAACAACAACAACAAAAGAAATAAACCTTTTTAATGGCATTTTAAAATGACGGTATTCTCTATCTTTATTAACGGTATTAACACCTTATTAATACGGCCCATTGGAGGAAAATTCCACTTAGGGTCTCCTGCTTCAGCAGGCGGCTGGATTAGAAGACCTCCGAGGTCCCTTCCAGCTGTATTCTGACAGAATTTTCCTCCAATGGGATTTTCCCATGTATTTTACCAGGAAACATAGATAGGGCAGCCTAGAAAGGTCAGTGCACTCCTAACCGTACCGAAGCACTCCGAGTTTGTTGGCGATGTCCATTTTGCTCTAGGAGTTCACGGTGACGTAACCCTAACCCTAAGTGGAATTTTCCTACAATGGGATTTTCCCATGTATTTTACCAGGAAACATAGAAGGGCAGAACTAGAAAAGTCAGTGCCCTCCTAACCATACCCAAGCACTCCGAGTTTGTTGCAATGTCCATTTTGCTCTAAGAGTTCATGGAGACGTAACCCTAACCCTAAGTGGAATTTTCCTCCAATGGGATTTTCCCATGTATTTTACCAGGAAACATACATAGGCAGCCTAGAAAAGTCAGTGCCCTTCTAACCATACCCAAGCACTCCGAGTTTTGTTGGCGATGTCCATTTTGCTCTAGGAGTTTCACGGTGACGTAACCCTAACCCTAAGTGGAATTTTCCTCCAATGGGATTTTCCCATGTATTTACCAGGAAAATAGATAGGGCAGCCTAGAAAGGTCAGTGCTCCTCCTAACCATACCCAAGCACTCCGAGTTCGTTGGCGATGTCCATTTTGCTCTAAGAGTTCATGGAGACGTAACCCTAACCCTAAGTGGAATTTTCCTCCAATGGGATTTTCCCATGTATTTCACCAGGAAACATACATACGGCAGCCTAGAAAAGTCAGTGCCCTCCTAACCATACCGAAGCACTCCGAGTTTGTTGGTGATCTCCATTTTGCCCTAGGAGTTTATGGTAACGTAACCCTAACCCTAAGTGGAATTTTCCTCCAATGGGATTTTCCCATGTATTTTACCAGGAAACATACATAGGGCAGCCTAGAAAAGTCAGTGCCCTTCTAACCATACCCAAGCACTCCGAGTTTGTTGGCGATGTCCATTTTGCTCTAGGAGTTCCGGTGACGTAACCCTAACTCTAAGTGGATTTTCCTCCAAGGGATTTTCCCATGTATTTTACCAGGAAACATAAAAGGGCAGCCCTAGAAAAGTCAGTGCCCATTCCTAACCATACCCAAGCACTCCGAGTTCGTTGGCGATGTCCATTTTGCTCAAACTGTGGCTCCGGAGCCGCATGGCGTCTTTGAGCCTTCCCCTGTGGCTCCCAGCCTCCTCTGCCTTTGCAGAGAAAGACAGAGACAGAGAGAGGCAATTGCACTGCCCTGCTTCTGTGTGTGTGTGTGTGTGTGTGTGTGTGTGTGTTGTGTGTGTGTGTGTGTGTGTGTGTGTGTGTGTGTATATGTGTAAAAGAGAGTGCACTCACAGTGTTCTCCGAGGAGCTGAAAAGCTTTCTGGGCGGAGCTCCTCCCTTTGCTGCGTCTCAGCAGGAAGCAGGAAGGGCAGGAGAGAGCTAGCTAGCCCAGCTAGGCTGACTCAGGAATTCTGGGAGTTGAAGTCCATGAGTCATAAAAGAGACCAGGTTGCTTGTTGGACAACAGCTTGAAGCTTGCCAGGTGAGCAGCAGATAGGAGGGGGGGGAGAAAGAGAGAGAGAGAAAGAGAGAGAGAGGGACGGAGAGAGAGAGAGGAAAGAGAGAGAGAGAGAGAGAGAGAGAGAAAAAAAGAAAGAGAGCGGGGGAAGAGGAGTGGCAGACCAAGGGCAGATAGAGAGGGAGGGAGAGAGAGACAGAGAGAGAGAGAGACCCTTTTGACATCTAAAATGAAGATAACACTGCATATATCCTTTTTTTTACCTGTGTGTGTGTGTGTGTGTGTGTGTGTGTATACACATACATATATACATATACATATACATATATATACACACACATACATACACACACAAACACACACACACAAACACACACACACCTATAATAAAGGTAAAAAAGGATATA